GTTTTATTGTGTTGCTGATTTTCATTACTGAATTTTCAAAAATAGAAATTTATATTATAGACTTTTATCTTTTATTAAACATTGTATCAATGTATCAAATAAGAATAGAGAAAAAAAATAAATTTATACATATAACTATTTTATCTTTTATTATATTATCTTTTATTATAGATCTTTTTATTTTTAATCTTGCCAAAATTTTTTAATTTTTTTATATATAAGATAATAAAAGAATTCAATAGAATGAATAAATAAGAATCTTTCCTTGTAAGCTATAATTGAGACAAAACTTTTATTTATATTTATTTCATCTGCAGATATTTAAATATTAAATATTTTTATAGTATTTAAACATTAAAATTTCAATTGAAATATATTATTTTCAATTATATATAAATAAATATCAAAAATTTTTTTTTTTCCTTAGCCAACTATAAACATTGTTGACAATTTATTTGTTTTTAAATTTCCTATAATAACAAATATACAATATACAAACAAATTATATCTTATAATAAAACAAATTATAATTATTTGTTTTTCCAATATTTATTAATTCAAGCATAATTATAAATATATAATTATATAAAATAAATAAAAATTATTTAAAAATTTTTTTTAATTAAATGAGAATTTTAATTTTATTATTAATATTTTATTTATTACTGAATTTCTAAAATTATTTTCATTTTGTAAATAAATAAACCTCTAATTCCTTTTCTTTCAAAATTTATAGGAAACAAAATATTTTTTTAAAAAATAGATGTCTTTTTTTATCATGAATTTCGTTTTCGTTACATATATTTTTGCTTTAATTCTTATTAAAATTTCAATTATGAAAATGTATAACAAATATTACTTATTATTATTTTACTTACTTATTTATTATTATTTTACTTATTATATTATTAAATAATATACTTAGTTTTTAAATATTTTTAGTTTTATTATTTGTATTTTAATTAAATTGCACGTGAATTTTTTAGTTCATTGAATTTTCAATAATTTTTTAGTTCATTGAATTTCAATAATTTAGATTTGTTAAATATTATTTTTTTCTTTCCTTTTTCTTTTGTTATCTTCTTCAATTTTTTATTGAAATTTATTTATTTATTTACTTTTGTTTGTTCTAATTTTTTAAATCAGTTTCGCAATAGCAATGACAATAACTACTTTCAACAATATTGCAGGAATATTATTTTGCAAAATGATAATTAATATATTCTTCTTTATGCTAATTGTGATCTTAATTGTAATGATTCTTACTTTTTAAAAATGATTTCCAAATTATTATATTTAACATAGTCATTGAAAATCATATTGATATCAAACCTTTTTTATATAAAGAAATTTACTGTTCTATAAAAATATTCAGATATTTTTCATAAATTATAAATTTCTTATTATTTCCTATTAGTTTTAATAACTGAAATTAATGCTATTTTCTTATTAAATAAATGTAAATACATAATAAATAAATTAATTATTATAAAAATTATATATAATTATAAAAATTAATGAATAAATTATATTATTGAAATTTTAAGATTTTTTCTACGAAAATGGTTGACTTGAGCAATCCTGCTTCTTTTAAGACATTTTTTTTTAAGACTTTTTATTTTTATGAATAAAATACGATATAATAAAAAAAATTTTATTTTGAATTAAAATCAAAATTACTTTTATACAAATCTTTATTTATAAATCTTTACTTTTATTTTTATTTACTGATCAGAAAATAATGCTTTTAGAATAATATCGTTATTTTTTATATATTTTGTTTTTATATATTATATTATTAATTTGCTAACAATTATTGATAATTATTATTTTCGATATTTCATTTTGGTATTATACAGAAGACAAATATATATAAAGAGATTAGAGACGGTTATATATATTTTTTAAATATATATTTAAAATATATTTTTTAAATATATATTTTAAATATATATTTAAAAAAAAATTATATAAAAGAAATTAAATAATACTATAATAATCTTTTTGCATATTTACGTTCAACATTTTATTCTTTATCAAAAACAAATATTTAAATAAAAAAATATTTAAAAATGTTTTTTTGTAAATATTTGTAGACTGATACATAATTATGGGAAATATTAGATGTAAAAATAAAACTATTTATTTATTTATATAAATTTCATAATGAAACATTTTTATTAGAATGCTTATATTAATATTAAAATTATAATGTAACAATATAACAAAAATCATAATTAAAATTTTTTGAAGTTAGTAAATATTTTGCAATTAATTTTTCTTTTTTATAAATATTTGTGAAATTTAGATAAAAAATTATATTTTTATTATTTTTATATTTATTATATACCTAAATATGTTATTTAATGTTATTTTAATATTTTATTATATTTATTTTAATGTTTTTATACTTTTAATGTTATTTTATTGATTTTGTATTTTTTAGCCATTGTTCTTATTTTCATTAATAACTTGCAATACAGCATTTTCTGTATATACAATATATTCTGTATTTTCTGTAATATATCATCAGGTGAGTTTATTTAATAACTCTTAGATTTAAACTCTTAGATTTAATAACTCTTAGATTTATCTATTAAAATGTACAAATTTTCATTATAATTTGTTAAGGAGAATATCTATTACAGATTAATTATATAAATATTAATTATAATTATATAAATAAGATTAAATTATTTTATGGAAATATAATAATATATATATATATTTATATCAAATTTTTCTTAATTGCATATTTTATATCGTCTCATAGAATTTGAAAACAATAATTCTTATATTATTTAATTTTAAACAGCAATGAGAATTGACATATATATAATATCGAGTATGTTTTCATGTAAAATTAATAATATTTTATAAAAATCAATATAGTGATAAATATCATATAAATAAAACAACAACTTACACTTTTTTAGCACCAAAATGTACTTTTTTAAATAGTAATAAGTAAAATAGTTTTAAATAAAATAGATTAATAAATTTGCTTAAAACAGTTTAATGTGATACAAGGTATTCTATATTGAAGCGTATATTTTTCTTTTATTTTTTAACATGGGAAATATAAAAATGTATTAAATGTAAAAATGTATTCTCTATGTATTAATTTTCTCTAATTTATTTTATATATACAAGATGGGGCTATGTTCATCTTGAATATTGCCGTTATTTGTAATAACATGAGAAAATGTTGTATACAAAACTTACACTATAGAGGCGGGCTTGTATTGTGATACAAATATTTTTGGTGTGAGTAAAGGCATAGAAGAGATTTTAAAGTTATCTCTATTTTTTTTTTTTTTATTGTGATGTAATAGCTGATGTTGAAAAGATTTCAGTAAGCATCAATTATTGAAGGTTCCACACTATAACTTATCATTGTCATTGGTACTTTTATAATTTTTTAATATTCTTATAACTATTATATTATATTTAATATTTTTATAACTATTATATTATATTTAATATTTTTATAATTATTTATTATATTTAATATTTTTATAACTATTATATTATATTTAATATTCTTATAAATATTATAACTTATATTAATCAATATGGATTATCGATACTCTGGTAATGCATATTATGCAAATTGAGATTTCCATGATTGGTAAAATGAGCTTCATCGGTGAATAGTATTGAAGAAAAAATTATTTCATTTATTTATATTTCATGTAGAACCCACTAACAAAATACAATACGATTCATAAAATCCATACCATATAACTCTTGATGGAGAGTTTCATTTTCCCATTTGGTGGGTAAATTATAAATTCCATCCTCAAAAAAATGACGGCTGCTTGCTGGTTATGAAATCATCAATACATTTTCAGATATCTTTTTTCGAGTTGACGTACTTCTTTGACAATTGATGTTGCAGATTCCCAAAAAGATAATAGTCTAAGAGAGAGCATGCCGTATATGGCAGGACTTTCCATTCCAATACATAAATTGTACTCTGCATTCCTTTTGCAACATATGATCGAACATTGTGCTGCAAAATCACGTGTCTTGTTCCTTGTCTAGTAAATGTTTCTGTTTTAACTGATCGTTATTATAAATTCATTAATTGATTTTAATAAAATTCAACAATTATTGTTCTTTCAGATGGAAGCAATTCATAATGGATGATTCGTCGGAAATCTTACCATATAGACAGTAAAATTTTTTTACAATGCAAATTCAGTTTTGTCATTGAAGTCAATAATTCACCCGAATTAATCCATGATTTCCATCATTTGAGATTGTCATAAAAGACTCATTTTTCATCGCCAGTAACAATTTTGTGCAGAAAACTTTTCCTTTTATGCCGTGAAAGCAAGATAGCAGAAATCTCGAATCTTTTTTTTACTCATTTTACTTAATTCATGTGGGATTCTAACTTAAATCTTCTATTCAATTATTTCAGTCAGATAGATACTGCTTATCTGACTCCTAATCTTTCTGCCAATTCTTCTTGCGTCTGAGTTTTTGTTAAACAATTCCTCTGACTGTCATCAAATTTTTTCAGAGCACTTGAACAATTGTCATCTTCCAAATTAAAATTTCCGACTTTTAAATTTTTGATATTACTTTTTGCATGTTCTGTAAGATAAAACGTTCTCTTCCAGTGCCGCACAAACCATTTCTGTAGCTTTAACTGTAGCTGATTTTCTGAAATGCAAAAAGTAAGCAGTGACGCAAATAATATTTTTCGCACATTATATTGTTTGAAATTGTTGTATAGAGCTGGAAATTTTTAGATCACAAAGCTCATCACAAGTGCTCTTTTTAAAAACAAAAGAACACTGTTTCAGATGTAACTATAAACGGGAAATAATTCAAATTCAGTCAAAAGTTATAATCGTAGAAAAAAAGGGGAAGGAAACTTATTTGCACATTTAATATAATATTAATAATTATTGTATTATATAAGACAAAATAACTTTACATATTTTATAATTTTCAATTTAAATAAGATATGATTTTTTCTTTTATAGAATGGTACATGTGGCGATGTTACGAACCATATGGTTGCTTTTATATTGGTTCACCATGGTCCGGAGAACATAGACCAGTATCAACATTTCCAAATCGTCCGGACTCTATAAATCCCCGTTATTTACTTTATATTCGTGAAATCATAGAACAACCGCAGGAACTGAAGATAGATAAAAACGAAACTATTCATAATTCAGTTTTTAAAAAACAGAATAATCTTTATCTTATCGTTCATGGATTTCTTGATAATGGTGACAAAACGTGGGTTATGGTAAGTACATCAATATATTTATTTCTAATCAAAAAGATAGCATGTGTATTATTTTGATTCTATGATTCGATGCTATGAGTAATAAGTAAAATTTGATAATATAGTCGATAAATTTCGAGACTTGCATATGCAAATCATAAAAAACAAGCACATTTTTTATGTTACAATAAAGAAATAACAAGAACGAAATGATATACTTATAAAGTCATAAATTCATATTTAATTTAATATTAACTTATATTTAATAAGTATTGTAAATTTTTGTGTAAATACGTAAATATGTAAATAAATATGTATTTCATATTACATTGAATACTTTACATATTTTATTTAACATAAATGAATATATTATATATTTATTTTTTGATAATAATTTTATTTGCATAATTATATTCTAATTATTACATATAGAATGAGGTATCTAATTAAGTTACTTTGAATATCTTGGCTGGTATTGATGATAAAAAGAAATATGTCAAACTTGCATTTTGAGATACAATTAAATTACTTTCTTTATTGATGGATATAATCTAATAAAAATATAAACTAAATTTTTGCTGTAAATCTTATAATAAGTAATTAAATCTTATAAAGAGGCTAATCTTTTAATGTGTTTTGAGATGGTTAGGAAGAAAAAATGATACCTAAGATTTTTTTAAATGAGAATTAAATGAGATTAATCTTTTGAATCAAAATAATCAAAATAAAAAATCAAAATAAAAAACATTTAAATCAATTAGTTTATCATGTATATAGTTATTATATATATAGTTACAAATTTATATTATATATATTTTTCTATATATAAAAATATAATAACAATATAATAATATAATATAAATAAAAAATTTATTTCGAAAAGAAATTTCGAAATAAAAAAAAAAGAAGAAATGAAAAAAATATTAGAATGATATTATTTCATAACATGTTTAAAATAATATCCTTCGAAGCACTAATCAAATCATTTACAAGTAAATTTTCTCGAATATTTAATAATATTAAAGAATAAAAATATGTATTGCTCTATATATTAATTACTCTTTTAAGAAAATATTAATTATTGATTAATTTAGATTTTGCATATTTATAGATTTTTATTAAATTATATATTTATAAATTTATATAAATGTTTATAGATTTTCTCTAATTTAAATTTTGAATTTTATTTTTAGATTTTTTCAATATATATTTTTATATTTGATTATATTGTGTTTTTATTATAATATCACAAGAGAAATTTAATTAGGATTACTGATTTAATTATTTAAATATTTCTTTGAATCATAAAATCTTTTTTTATTTTTTTTTTCCAAATTTTATTCTTATCAATTTTCAAATGATTTTCTTTATTCTTTTTATATGTTAATGCAGTTTTTTTTATTATGCTTTTTAACTTATATGAGTATACAAATGAAATACGGATTATACATGATATTTTTTAAACTTTATGTGACATATTCTAATACAAATGATCCTAATGGTTGATTGAATGAAAAATGATAAATATTATTTGAATAAAATGTGAATATATGAAATATATAAAAATACTAATTATATAAATATATTTTATATAAATATAAAATCTCACTTTTGGCAATTCATATCGAAAATTATAAATATATATATATATATATATATATATAAGATGTTCATAATGCTATTAAGTTAACAATTTTCTTATAAATATTTTTCTAAATAACCGTATCATTATATCAATTATATTATAATATTCAATATAAAATGTTAGCCAAAATATAATTTAACAAAAACAGATTATATCTAGATGGAATGTAAAATATTAACAAAATCTAGATTTAATAAAGATAATGTAATTATATAAGCATAGATATATGTCGATGAGATATAATAAAAACTATGAGCAAAATCTTAATCTTTCAAATGTGGTAACATATAAACAGACCAGAAATGAATTTCAATAAACATATTAATAATTGATTGAAAGTTTTTAACTTTTTAACGATACCAATTATTCTTGGAAATTCGAAATTTTAAACTTGACTTTCATCCAATTATAGTCGCAAATTATTTAAATTATTGATATTAATCTGATATGACATAACAAATATAAATTTTTTTTTAATACTTTTCAAGAAATGAAACAAATCTTGAATATTTTTAATAGAATGTTTAATAGAATATACTTTTTATCATATATGAATTGATATATCATATATTTATATCATATAAGAATTTATTTATCAATTTACAATTTACATTATTTTATACATTTATCAAATCAATTTGAATGAATTGAATTTATTCTGATTTTGATTTTTTATTGATTTCTGAATATTTATTATCAATTTGATATGTTGTTTTTCCGATTTTTAATTAATCTATTAATTAATTACAAACATTCTTTTTGACTAATGTGATTCATTTCATATTATAGTTATATAAATATCTGAAAATTCAATATTATTCTCAATGCTAATGATAATAATATTAAAAATAGAACATTTGTGAAATATTAATATAAATATTAATATAAAATATAACATGTTGATAAAAAACATGGATCCAGAAATCAATTGCACTATCAAATTTCATTAATCTCATTAATAACAATTTTAATTGAACCCTAAAGAGTTTTTATTTCTTTATTCCTATTTCTACTTCAATATAGTTTTTGTTCTATTATTATTTTTTGGTTTTTATTTCTTTTCTGCAATATTCTTCTACAAAGTTCCATTTGAGTCTGATTGACAATTACTAATCAGATGTAAATAAATCTCTTCACTTTTTTTATGATCTTTTTCTACCGATTTCAATTTTATATTTATTTTTCTTCTCTTCTCAATATGTTAAGGACAAGGCTTGTGAAGCGGTCGGATAATCTGGTCTATGTTTTCAATAGTTCGAGTACCATCAGTAGCTTGACAATAATTTATGAGCAGGCATGGTTTTCCTAATGTTTTCCAGATCTCGATCATAAATTTAAACAAAGGTCTCTAATTTAAATACAGGAACGGCTATTTCACGAATCACATTTGCATGTGATGGACCATCGTGAGAGCGAGCGCGAAGATTCTGATCCTCACGCTGCAACCTCGCAAGAGCCCTTGGAGGCTGTTCTGCAGCGCGACTATTGGTCCCTCCAACATTCTCTATGTTGTAATTATTTTCCCAAAAGGCAAAGATTGGAGAAAAACCAAGAGTCGCGACAGTCTTGCGATAGAGTTGATATAGAAATAGAAACGAGAACAAATAGAATTCGATGATACAGTGTACATCAAAATATAATTAGAATCATCACAGTTAGCCACAAAGAGTCAAAATATCATCATTTGTTCACTACAAGCTCATAATATAAACGAATATACAGTTCTACGAAAGTAGGTGGTCCTTCGAACAATAATATCAGTTTAGGCATCTCATTTGTGCGATATTTAATCGTTCATCACTTTTCAACTTTAACACAATACATTTTCTCTTTTTTTATTTTTACTTTTATTTTTTTCGATGTTTTTAAAAACTTCCATTTTCTTTCGCATGAACAGTCAATATTAATTTGTCGACATTAAGTAACGTTATTAAATCAAAGTCCATGTAAAATAAGCATTAAAATTTTCACTATCATTATTAATATAATTAGTATTATTATTATTAAATATATTTATTTAATTGTGGATATTTTCATTATTCTTTATAATGATATATCTAATATAAATTATTATAATTAATTATTAATTATATATGAATAATTAAATTATTCGTTATATTATAATTTCGATGTCAATTTTCGATAGGTGTTTCTTATATATTTTAATCTATTAAATATATAATTTGTAAATATATTTATATAGCCATATTTTTTTAAAAAAATCAATTTTTAAAAAATGACAATTTGTCAATTTTGTTCTATATATTTTTGTATAATAATAGTTATTTAGTTGATTGATATTTGGATTTTTTTTAAATAAAATAATATAAATAGTAATTAAATTATGAAATATATTAATATATCTAAATATATTTAAATATTTCATATCTAAATATATTAACATATCTAAATATGTCACCATAAAAATTAACAGTATATCTATATTTATTTTTGCTAATATTTTTCAATTTATTAAAAAACTAAAGATTTAAAAGAAAATGCAACCACATAAAATAAAACAGCTTTTCTGCTGAAAAAATTAAAAAAAAAAGATAAAATTATATTTGTTTCTAATATAAAAGCAAAATAGTTTGTCAGAATGAGCAGCAATAATATTAATAACATTCAATGATATCGCGATTCCAATACTGTGCAACATATTGAATAGTGGACGACCTCATTGAGTAATACACATACATATAGTTACTGCATGTTTTATCAAATAATTTTTTTATTTTTATTACCTTTGTTTATTTTTTATTTATTAAGTTATATTAGCTATATTATCTTATATTATATATGTATAAGTTTATGTATATAATATATTATGTATTATATAATATTATATTATAATATTTAATAATATATATAAATATAATATATATAAATAAATATGTATAAATAAATATATAATTATATAATATTATAATATTATATTATAATATATATTTATCTATAACTATTAATATGTTATAATATATATTATATATATGTATATATATAATATATATACATAAAATACACAAAAAATAATATAATATATAATATATAATATATTATATATTATATATTATTATAATATTATCATATTATGTTAGCTTTCCGATGATTAATCTCGTAGATTTTTCAGAATTGGTTGATAGTCATAGGAGTTATGCTATGACTAAATTTTTATAATATTAGTATAAAGAACTATTTTATGTTTATAAATTAGCAGAGAAAATAAAAATTATGTTCCAAGATTATAATTGTGTGCAATATCTATAGACTTTGAATTTTTTCTAAATATTCTTGTTTGATGTTTGAATTCTAGTTTTTTTAAATTTCAATGAGAATAGGAATAATTTCATTAATTCATTTAAAAAAAGATATAAGATTAGTTGATATCATGATTTATTTCATGTATTACAAAATGATAAGAAAGGTGATCAAGTCTAGTTTATTGATATAAATAATGAAAAATGACCAGATCCAAATCGTATTACTAGTTTCAAATAGTAATTTTAATTCCTGAAAAAGATTAATTAAAAAATTTGCGTATCTCCCAAAATGATTCTAGGCGACAATTAGTTTAATAAGCACTTGAAATCTGACGAACATGTAACAAATTTCAAAAGTTAAAAAGGATATTTTAAGAAGTCAGATACTAAAAATTATAAATCTTTGAAATAAAATACTAAAAAAAAAAATTAAAATTAAAAAAGAAAGTATATGGATTGATAGCTTCATAAATTTATTACTGTTACAGGTCATAAAAACTAACCGAAAAAATCAGCTATTGGTCTAAATTATATATATATATATATATATATGTATTTTTACATACATATATATATAATATATAATACATTTAATTGAATAAAATATATATTATTTTATTAGATTATATTAGCTTCTATTAAAAACAAAAATGATTTTATATTGTCTCTTGATGCTTTTCTTAACAAAAGAATTTGTTCTATCGTATAATATAATTAGATTTTTTTCTAGATTTTTAGTTTTTGAAATAAATTAAAAAATATTAAAAATGTGTATTTTGGTATCTTTTTATTATTTAAATATATTTAAATATAATAATTATTTATATCATTTTGTAGAAAAAGTTTAGAATCATTTCATGCCAAAAAAAATTGAATATTAATTATTCTAATTGAATATTAATTATTCTAAAAGTTTAAAACATTTCCAAATTTAAAAAATTGCATTTTTTATTCTAGAAAATACATTTGCAAATAATATTGCAAATAATATTAAATATATTAAAATCTATAAAAAATATCTATTGAAGATTACAAAATTAAATATGTAATATTAATCAAGTCATTTCTTGTTATTAATATATATTTATTTCCCTATATATTAAATGCTGAATAATATCGATATATGTTGAAATTCACGATTTGCAAAGTAACAATATTCCGTCAGATGTAAAACAATTTACATCATTATTCAGAATGAAGCATTAGTATAATACTTACTCAAATATCATATTTGACATCAATATATTAAAAAAAAAAAATTTGTATACATGGATCAACGTTTTGATCATTGCATTTAGTTGACTTAAATTGATTAATTTTTTTAGATTTTTTAAAAAAAAAGTATATATGGAATTCTTTATTTTAATAGAATTGTTCTTATTTCAATACATAATATAACGAAGAGAAATTATTTAAATATAATAAATTATATAATAATATAATAAAATATGGTAAATATGATAAAATATATAATGAAAAATGTAAAAAAATGAATGAGAAAATATTTAAAAAACAATAGTGTTAGTATTAGCATTATGTATTGCAAACATTCGACAAAAAAGTGCATATTTCGAAAACTATTTTTTATGATTTTTTTATAAAATTATTTTATCTTATGATTTTCTTAATATCATCCAAAATAGTTTCAATTGATGCTCAAAAAATAAAAGTTTAAAAAGAAATATAACTGCACATTATAACCACATATACACATTATTGATACACAAATTTTAAAAAAATTATAAAAATCTATAAAAAGTCACATGATACAATGATTAAATTTATTAAATAATATAAAATTTTATATAATTTTTTTTATCTGTGTTCGCGAGTACTTATTGCTCGCGAGATTTATAAATAACTTATTCGGAGAAATTTCTCATAGAAATCCTTTTCTGTTATTACTGTTCACAGATCTTTATTAAGTCTAAACAAAGAATGATGTTATCTGAGAAGACTGTTATTTTTGAGAATTTAATCGCCACTTATAATTGATAATATTTTTGACACACTTCAGTCTGTCAGACTGGAACAGAGTCCAATCCCAAGAGTAACATACTTCAGATACAAACAGCTAATTCATCGGCAATCAACATCATTCTAGTTCGAATTTTTTTCTAATTAGAAATTTTTCTTGAGAGTATCACGAATCAGACACTAATCGCGATATTATTTAATGTGTTCCACCAGAAAACTGAAATCCTTCCAATTGAATTAGAAAGGGATTTTCTAAGAGCTTCACTAGTGAAGAGAGTCTCATGTGAATAGGTCGTAGTCTGGATACGACAATTAGATAGTTTGTGAACACATCATGCTCTAATCGTCAGATACGATTGTTTATTATTACTTGTAAAGAAACTTTCATTGTGAACCTTCAATTTTCATGTCATAATCTGATTACCAGATACGACAAATAGATAGTTTTGTTCTAACATCACATCGTGTTCTGATCGTCGAATATTGATGTCACATTGTGAGAGACTCCACTTTTTTATAGACATATGCTTCGAACATGTAACCGCATTATTACAGTTCATTTATTTTTAAGAAAAACATTAACAATCACCAATACCAGCTTCTTCACATACACATATACGTCAGTCAAAAGAATATTTGATACATGTATACATACATTTAATAATCCATTATAATATTATTACTGCAGGCGCAAACAATCTGTAATACAAACAAACTTATAATTCAGTTTATTCATTAAACTTATATACATAGTGAATGTCCAAAAAATGTGAGAATATCTTTAAATTGGAGATTCCTAAGATAATAATTTAAAGATTTGATGGTTTAAAAGCTTCTATGATTTAAAAAGTTTAAAAAGTTTAATGGTTTAAAAAGTTCTAATTTTTCTTAAATTTTATCAAATACTTATATCCTTTATGCTTATCTCACAAATCTTCGATAAAATATACAAACGGCCATCCACAAATGATATTGTGGATTAAATTCTTGCTTGAACAATACTATTAATCTAAGAAAAATTTCTAGAATTAGGTTGAAGGATTATGGACACTTCGCTGTTTCCAGAAAACTGATTCGTGAGTTGTAATAATTTTTCCCAAGATAATACTGTTGAGATTTGTGTAGCTAGAAAATATCTCAAATCTCAAAATCATATTTATGCTCTATTCCGAAATGTATTTTTTAGTGTTTCTAAAAAATATACAATTCTAAAAATTTTCTAAATGCTTTTTTCAAAAACGGCACTATTCTTACGCAATATCATCCTATATCACTCTATATTATCTGTTCAATGTCTTAATATTTACTTTTTTTGTTATATGAATATAAATAATTTGAAATTATCTTATTGAAAAGAAAATAAATGATTTTTCTAAATTTTCTTTTAATTTTCACTATGAATCAAATTTTTTTTCTTCAAAATATTAAGTCACTCATAATATCACTTTATATTTAATTATTCAATACAAGAATCCATTGTTACTTAGTTTTTTCAAAATTTTTTTTTTTCATTAGAATTAAAAATAAATTCTAATCATCTTTGTTTATTAATTTGTCTTATAAAAGATTTTCATTTCACTATATGATTGTTATACTCTGTGTACTTTTTTTTATTATATTTTATACTGTTTCAAGTATTACTTGTTCTTTATAATTTCTATTGATGTTAATTTTATAGCATTTGTTTCCAAATCATATCTGTTTTTAAAATGACATGCTTATATGATATGATTCTAATTTTTAGTTAATATATTTTAATATTCGCTATCGATTTTGGTTTGATTTTGGTTTTCAATTTCATTCATCTTTGACATTATATCCTTGACAAATATATTATACAATAGAAGATAATTTATTGTGCAATTTTTCTTAACATTGTATTTTCTCTTCTAATTAATTGTCTAATTGCAATAAGAATTTCCATTTTTATTAAAATTTTCACAATATGATTTTTTCTATCTATTATATATATATATATATATATATATATGATCTTTTATATCTATTATATATTTTCTATCTATTATATACATTATATTATATTACACTAAAATTCATTTGAAATAATCAATTAAATTATTTTTAATTTTTGTTTCAATCTTATTTGTAAACATTTTATAGAATTCTTAGAACTAATTGAATTTTTTTGCAATCTTTATGCAATTTTTATGCAAATCTTTTTAATTATTTTTGTTATGTTTTTTTTATATTTAATATTTAATTTTTATTTTTTATATTTAACAAATAATTGTATATTTTTTCTTTTTCATTAATAATAATTATATTTTTATATATAATAATATAAAAATTAATTTTTAATCTTTTTCTTGGTAAATTTAATAAATTCTAGTGCTGCATACAAAAATTTTTTTAATTGATTTAATTTTTAATTTATTTAATTTAATTGATTTAATTTTTTTAATTTTTTAATTGTATATATTAGTTTATGAAACAAATTATGATTTTTCAAATTTTTATTATAAGTATTTTTGACACATGAAATCATCAAATTTCATTCTTAATTTTCATTTTTCTCAGTAAGAGTTGTTTTTTTATTAATTTTCTTATTCATAATTTTTTTCGTTATTATTCATTATAATTTTAATTTGCATTTAATTTTACTATTATTAAAAAATTATTTTTTACAGAGAACTATGAAAGAATTACTAGTAAAAGAAGATTGCAACGTAGTAATAGTGAATTGGATTGCTGGTGCAGGTCCGCCATACACTCAAGCTGTGGCCAATACAAGATTAATCGGTGCAATGACAGCTCGTTTAGTTTATCAATTGATTGAAATTGGAGGAATAAATCCTTTGAAAATGCATTGCATTGGACATAGTCTTGGTGCACATACTTGTGGCTACATTGGATACACTTTGAGGAAAAGATACAAATATAATCTTGGAAGAATTACTGGTAAGTCAAAAAATTACTGTAGAATTTGTTATAAGCAAATTGAATAATTTGAATATATCATGAAAATGTTCATTAATACTTAATTAAATAAATTCATATATATTTAACTATCAATTATTAATATATTATTAATATATTATTAATATATTATAATTAAATTTTAAATATATATGTTAATTGAATATATATTCTATCAATATATATTCAATTAACATATATATTTAAAATTATTATACATACAAATGATTAAATCTATTTATTTGAACAGAAATTCTAGTTATTTAAACGAAAAGTTAAAAGTACATATAAAGATAAACTTGGTAAACTCTTATTATATGAATTTATTCAATTACAAATTACATCGCGATAAAATGATAGCACATCATTACAATTTTCGTTATTTATTGAAACTAATATACTTATATAAAATTTCCTTTATTGATAATATAGAAAAAGATAAATAGTAGTTTAAAATTTAATCTACAAATTTCATTTGTTTATACAAAAATAATTAATAAAATAATGATGACATATAATTAATAAAATGATAATGACATAGATAAAATACATTAACAGAATATTATTATTTGATAATAGAGAGGTTCTTATGTCTTTCCTTTCATTTTCGTGTGCTAAATTTGAATTTGTTCATAAATATTATTTGTCATGTTAGATTTAGAAAATAAATAAATATTGATTTTTGTTATATTTATGAAAATATTTCAAAAAAGTAATTATTTTCAAATTTTTATTAAAAATTATTGACTAATACCATTAATTTATTATGGAGCCATTATGAAGCTGAATTTGACTTATGATCATAACATTCTTTTTTAGTAAAATATATCTTTTTTAAAAGTTATTGTATTTTTAATTTTATGAACAAAAGTTTATTGAAAAATATTTTTCTTTTTTTTAATTTTCAAAAAACTATATTCATGAATATTTTCTTATTCTATTAGATTTTTATTTGAAAAAAATAAACTCAAATTTTCAAAAAAAATTTCATTTTTATTGTTAATAAATTCATTTATTGTTAATAAATACATATTATACATATTTTATTTATATTTATTATATTTATTATATATTATATATATATATATATATCAAATATTCTATTGTACAAATGTACTGGAATAGAGCAATAGTTTTTTTTTACTTTTTATATATGTACACACATTCAACTTTACTAATCTGAAATGTTATAGGAATTTTGATTTGCTCTTATGGATTTCGGTAAATAAGCAGATTGAGTGTCATACAAAAATTCAACTATGGATTTAAGTAATATGTTTGTATCATAAAATAATTTATTTATAATTTATTTATTTATAAAGTGATGTATATGTTAATATTTACTAAAACTTAATCTGAAATTTACTAAAACTTATTCGAGCTAAGTTTTTGTTAAATAAGGAATTACTTACGTACATTATATTATATTACACTAAAATTCATTTGAAATAATCAATTATATATAAAAAAAAGTATCAGTATATTTACTTTTATTCCGCTAGACAAGCGACATTGCAATACGCCGTATCGCAATATGCCGTACACTTAAACGAACGTTCTCGCTCTTCCACCATTTCGCTCTATCTAATATAAATTTAAAATGCTTATAACTTAATTAAACCTTATCGGATATATGTGTATATGATCTTTTTTATCGTTTTAATATCTAGAATCCATCTTTTAAAAGTGTCCTACATTTTTATAAATACTTTAGGACAATATATATTAGTATGTGATTGTTTATTTGTTTTTATAAATATATCATGGTAACAACATACAAATCTGCGAAATGTGACATATAATAAAATATAAAATTCTTGGACAACTAAAATTACATATGATCGTTACAAGAATAGATAAATAATAAGAATAAATCATTAATTGAATATTTTTATTTGATTAAAATTGCTAAAACTAAGACTAAAATTTGCAATTTAAATCAATCATTTCTTTTTTTCATTCAAGTGTTAAACATTTTTAATATTTTTAATACTTAAAATTTAGAGATTAATTCTAATTGATGAAAAAATCAATAATTTTTACTATTATTACTATGCATAAAATATTAATAAATAATAAATAATAATACATTACAGAGATAATTGGCAAAAATGTAATAAAACAATTTTATTGGAAATTTTATTGTTTTACTTACAATTTATGACTTTTTTCGAATAAATCTATTCTAATTTTTTTTTTCGAAGTATTCATTATTTGTGAGTGCAGAGAAAAGAAAAAATACTGCTACTATTATTGTATAGAATCTTCTTTTTCAATGTTGCCTAACGCATTATTCAGTATCTTATACTAAAACTGAACAATTTTCAATGAAATAAATAAATTAATAATAAATCTAAAAATAANATTTTCAAAAACAAATCGAAAAATATTTTTTTAATTTCATTGAATCTTAAAAAATTTTTTTTAATAATATTAGAATTAGGATCTGATAATAATTATCTGATAATAATTATCAGAAATAGGAGAATCTTCACCGATTTTAATGATTTTTGAATATTATTATAATATTAAGAATATGTATTGTAAAGAATAAGATTTTCAATAATTTTTCTTTTATTACCGTCTCTCGATTTTAATTATAAAAATCGAAATATTTACAAAACAAAATTGCTATTTTTTAGAATTTTTTTTCAATATATACGTCCATGATTGTGTGTGCATAAACTTGCGATTATTATTTATCTATTGTTCCTATAATGTGTACATTTCAAAATGTATAAAGGGTAGATTGCTTAAAAATTTACTTATTTATGGATTATCCTTCATATACGCAGTGCAAAAATAAAATATAAAACATTATATAAAATTTTCGAAGAAAAATTATAATTGTAATTATAATTATCTTTTTTTTTAAATTATTCGTATATTTAAATAATAAAAATAAATTAACAAATATTTTTGATCATATTTTATTGTTATTTTTTAATAATTAATTTTTAAATCATATTTTTTATATTGTAATATTTTTATATTATTTTTAAATATCAAAAGTTTTTTAAAAAAATCATCGGATATTTAATAGGTAATGCCTATTAACATATATTTATATATATTTATATATATTTATATTATTATATTTATATATATATAAATTATATTATTATATAAATATATATAATAATATAATAAATATATAATAATATAATATATAATAATTATATAAATATATTTTTATATATTATATATTATTATATTTAATATATTATTATATATTATTATATTTTATATTTTATATATTATTATATATATATTTATATATGTATGTATATTTTTTTAATTACTTACACGAACTGCTTATGTTAAACTTGTTATGTGACCAATGAGATCAAACATCAATACCGTGATCCATCCTATTAAGTTTGTATACAAATTGATCATATAAATTTGATAAAACAAATATTGCCTTATGAAAGAATTCTTATCTTTATTTTTATGAATATTGGCATTTTGTATTATGTTGTTGATAATACTGTTTGTTTTTCTAAAATTTTATCATATATTATCATGTTAGCAATTGAAAAATATAAAAACAATGTAAAACATTTATTATTTTCTTCTATATTAGTGTAGTAATAGATTGTATTTTCGCTTTTTATTAATTCTCAATATTTTCTTCCGAATCTATGCTATCAAAAAAAAAAAAAAAAGAAAAACTGTATAATTTATGCGAATACACAAGTTATTTTCTTTTAACAATAGTATAATTATTATCATTTTTCGAAATTTTAACTTAATTTCAATTTGCGATTTTATTACTATTATTAAACATTATTATAATAATAAATTGTTGCAAGCTGGATAGATAAAGTGTGGTGGTATTTATTTACTCATTATACCGTATTTATACAAATAATTATATATATAATATATATATAATATATATATAATATAATATATGTTATATATATATATGTTATATAATAATATATATATAGTCGCACGTGATACTATATATATGCAGATGAAATTCAATAGCCAAAAAATTTTTACAAATAATTCGGAAAAATTGATTATTGTGTCAATATATAAAATAGAAAAAATTGCTTATATATATAAAAGAAAATGATATTCTTTGATTATTTTTTATCCCTATGGTAAATAAAATACAATGCAATAATAAAAAAAATTTGATTTTGAAATATAAAAACAATTTAACGGGAATTTTTTTCAGTAGATTTTGACTGATTCAAAAAAATAAAGTATGCTTATAACAATTAAGATAAAATATTTTTTTTAATCTATATTATTAAATCTATTTTTTTAACTTAATAAATAACTTAATAAATAATTTAATTATTTTTTTAACTTAATATGCTTAATACATTTAAAACATTTAAGAAGTACATATAGTATTTGTATAATAAATCGAAATATTTTAGAAATAAATATTTTAAAACATGATACAAAAATTAAATAATTCAATATTTTGAGATAAATAAATTTGAGATATTTCTTAAAATAATTTATTTTTTCGGAAAATTATAAACATTATAAAAATTATAAATTCATTTTTGCTTTTAATTGTAATTACTTTTTTTTCATAATTTTTTTTTTGTTTTTTAAATTTAGTTCATATTAACAAATACGATCATAGTACGATCAGATGTTAACTCAAGCACTAGTTAATATATATATAATACAATGAGAAAATTCACAGCCAGTTCAGCTAAGTAAAATAAAAATTAATTTACTATAAATGGAATTGATTTGCTAGCAGTTTAAATAATTTATATGTACACAAATTTTCAGTAAAATCAAACTTTTCAAAATATATGAATTTTCTTATAAGACAAAATAAGTATAAAAACTTTCATTTTAGAAATAACTAAAGTATTGATTATGTGTAAAGAAAAAAATTGCTTAAAATGCTCTTAACATATTTCAAATTGATTAAAGTCGATGAAAAAGAAACAAAATATTTTCAACACAAAATAAATTTTATTTAAAGCACTTTTCAAAGAAACGAATAATTTGGAAAATAATTACGTCTTTAAAAGTTTAAATGGAATATTATATCTTAAAATATTATTTTAAAATTATTAAAATGATTATTCTGCCAATGTATTTATAAATGTTTTTTCAAAAAACTTTTAGATAGCGAATTTTTTATAATTAAACTCTACTCTTGATCACTTAATCACAATAGATAAAGTTCATCAAAGTTTATTCTTTCCTGCTTTTCTTTTTTTTATGCCAATATATTAATTCTAGAAAATACTAAAAGAACTTTCGTCCTAATCTTATACTAAACCTTATTCAAATTCTCAGAATTATACAAATAAATCGTATTATTTTCTTGAAAGTTGTATTTAGAATTGTAATTTAAACTTTCAAAATATATATTCTATTAGATGTTAAATTGATATTTACATTCTTTTTCCGAAAACAACAAAATTATAATACAATAAAGCAGTAAACAAAAGTACAAAGCAAATAAACAAAATGAAAATTATTTGGCAATATTCAATGAAATTTCTTATGTTTTATTTTATATCTCTGTTTGAAGGCCTTGATCCTGCTGAACCGCATTTCAGCAATACATCCACAATGGTGCGACTTGATCCAACGGATGCCACTTTTGTTACGGCTATTCACACCGATTGCAATCCTTTTATCAACTTAGGACTCGGTATTACTCATCCTGTCGCTCATATCGATTTTTTTCCAAATGGAGGTCGCAATCAGCCCGGTTGCAATGAGGGTGTATTGAATTCTATCACCTTAGAACGTGGAAGCTTCTTTCGAGGTCAGTTTTTTTTATTTTCCTTTTTTATTTTTATATTTTTTCTTTTTTTTTTGTTCTATGATTAACTACTTGTTTTGATATATTGTAAATATTGTAAATATATCTTATTTATATACATATGTATAATATTAATAATTATTTTAAAAAAAGTACATTTTTGATTTGATGATCTTGAAATATATTGTCAAAAACAATATTTTAAATATTACTTTTCCCATACATATAACCACCGTCTATAATGTGATATCAGCCTCATATTTAATATTATTATATATGTTATATTATTTATTATATATTCTTATTTTTTTATGTTATAAAAAAATTTTAAAGAAGTTCTGTTAAAAAATAAAATAGTAGATTTTTGCTAAAACAAAGCCGTTTACATAATCAACATGTTTATATTTAGTTAATAAATAGCACAATTGTTATATATTGCTATATATATCACGAACGCATCACGTATTAAGCAGAATTCAATATAGTAAAAACTCTTTTAAAATAATTCGAAAACTAAGATCGATTATTGATTAGGTATAAAAGAAAAAATTATATTTTATGGTCATTGAAATCGGTGAAGTTCATTGATAAATTGATCTAATTGATAATTATTATTCAATAATATTAGTATATAATAATATAGAAGGAAAAAATAATCGTTTATACATTTTTGCAATAATTTGACTTGTTTTTACTTTTTATTTTTAAAATAAGATTAGTAAAATTAGCAAAATTTGTGTCCTTTAATTCACTATCTCTTTTCTTTCTTATTTTAATTTTTCTACTTTAATATATTTTCTATAATGCTAATAATACTGATATTAAAAAAATTAAATATAATATTTTTAAAAATATTAACAATAGTATCATATGTATTAACAATAATACCATATTAGAATATTGTTAAAATCTAAACTGAATGATTTTGAATATTGCGTAAAATCTGAGGGATGCCTGAATTGATGATATTACTCGAAGAATCATTTAGAACAATCGTATTATGAACTTGAAATGAACGAATGATAGTTTACTTTAACTATTTGCCACTGATTGATCATTGAATGTAATGCTATTTTGATTCTACTCTAATATGAACTGAATTCTATCTGCTTTATCTGCTGAATTCTATTTTATTTTATTGATTGATTTGATCTAGAAGACTGTCGTAGGCCTCGGTTTTTCAATCAATCAAATATTTTCTGAAAATTCCAAGAGGGATTTAAGGAAATCAATTGCACTAAAGGATAGTTTCAAAAGATGAGCCGTCGCGTCGCAGTGCAGGTTTGCGATCGTTCCATCTCAAGGTACCTATGCGCGTAAATATAATTTGTGTCATTTCCATTTTGATTGCTATGAAAATCTAGAAAGCGTTAGAGAACTGTATTCGATTGTAAATTATTGCTAGATTATTGAAAATTTTCGAACCGTTAAAAATAAAATCCAAGCTATCTGACCGGTTCAAAAATGTTGATTCTGTACTTAATAGATATAAAAATATTTTTACATAATCATGAGATCATTTTCATACATTATTGTACATATATATTTTATTATCACTTTACATAAAGTATGCGATTTTATTAATTATTAATATATATATCAAAATATAATAAAAGCTTAATAATAACTTGAAACTAAAAAGCAAATGCCAGATTATATTAACAAAATATTATCAATAGAGTAATAATTTAAATAACAAACAAATTTTCAATTTCAATGATCTTTAAACATATTACAAAAATATTTAAAGATCAATATTTAAATTATTTAAACAACTTTACTAACATTAAATAATTTTATTAAACATGCGCGCGCGCGCGCACACACACACACACACACACACACACATACACATACATACAATCGCTTGTATTATTACAATGAATTCTGCCTATACGTATGCACTTATGACATAAATTATTTTACAGTGTTATTGGTTATTTTACAGTGACCGGATAAAATAGGTCACCCAAATCCAATTCTTATCTTTTGTTTATAGTTTATATAAACTGAGGTTGGATGAACTTACTATTAATCCAATGAGGTGCAATAGATATAAACAAGTGCACGTGATCGATGTATGGACAAGACAGGACCGACTCACAAATTCCAGATTCCTACGAATTAAGAAATAAGAAGGTATCTTTGTGAATAATAATTTGTTCACTTCCAATATAATCTGAAATTGTTCATATTGATATAAACTCAATGAAGAAAATAAGTTTCGAATCAATATTTAATAAAAAATTATAAACTATTATAATTTTGTAGAAAAAAATCGTATAATAATCAATTTAAATTTATTTTAAAATATTAAATTCTTATTTTCAACAATCTTGAATTTGTTTTTTTTTAAGATCGTTTTTATATCATTAGGAAATAGGAAAGTAAGAATACTTTTCTTCTTAAAAATTTAAAAGATTTAATCGGTTGTAAAAACTCTGAAATCTTTTTTGTAGTTGAATTCATAATAGATTTGCAAAATTGAAATTTTTTTTTTAAAGATCTCTCAAAATTTGTTTTGAGATTTCTTTTCGCCAAATTATTGAACTTTGGATATACTTAAAAATAGAGAAAATTTAATATTTTTTTAATTTGTCATCTGATTTTGAAAATATTTAAAGTTCAATAATTAGATAAAAGAAATTATATAGCAACTTTTAGGAAGTCATGAAGGAAAAATTTTAAAATTAACATGAACGAACATGATATTTTACTGTTTCTATCATTAAAAATAGTTTAATTTTTCTATGACATATTTCTGCAGGAGGATCATCATTTGCCAGTAGTGGCAATGGGAATAATATAATGGAATGTATTCTCTTATGGAAATTCATAGAAGAGGAATTGAAACACTTTTAATAATAAAAGAGATTTATTGTGTTTTTTTATTATATTTTAAATATTGTGGATTCAATTATAAAAAAAATTTTTTAATATCTTGATTTAATTTTTAAAAATTAAAGAAAAAAATATCTTTATCTTTTTATTTGTTGATATATAATTAAAAAAAAAAAAAAATTCAGAATTGTGAAAATAGAGGTTTAAAATAAAATTGATTGTTGATTTTTTTTTTTACAAAAGTTATAATAATTACAAATATCGATAATTTTTCATTGAGTATTGAATCATTTATGTTTTTTACTATATACTTAAATAATAAAATAAATGAAATTACAAAATAAATTATAAACAATTAATATTTTTTATTCTGAATTCAATCAATATCAAAATTCAAATAAGAAAATATCAAATTCAAACTTTCAAATTTCAAAAGTTTTGATTATACTTTGAATAATAAAATTTAATTAAAAAATTTATTTTCAATTTTAATAATTACAATGAATATATCTTTTTCTTTTCTTCGCTGTATTTGCTTTATAGAACAAATTTTTTATAACTTGAAACTTTAATGTTACAATGTTATTATTAGAGTCGTTTATTTTGAAAGTGGCCTATGTCTATTTATTTTAAAATTGAAATATTGAAAAGTTTTTAATAAACCTTTTAATAAATTTAAAAATATTAGTATTTGATAACATGATTATATAATACTTTTGTGTTTCTATATAATTTATCAACTCAATTAGCATAATAAACATTATTTAAAAAATAATACTTTATTGATTATTAAATAGACTTAAAATTATTTTTAAAATTACTAATATTTCTACTTATTAATAAAACATATAATTAATAAAGTCTATGAAAAAAAATAAATTTTCTTTGAAATAAAAAAAAATATATATAGTTTTATATTAAAAAATTAAAAAATATCCAATATTTATTCAATATTTAATATTTTATTCACTATTATCAATTATTAAAGAAATATTACATTAAAATTAATAATATTTTGCAATTTATAATTCATTCCTCTCCAATTTGCATATACAGGAGGCATTTAAAGTATATATAATATACATAATAATAATAATAATAATAGTGATAATAATGATAATAATAATGATAATAGTCATAATGATAATAATGATAATAGTGACAATAGTGATAATAATGATAATAACAATAATAATAATAGTAATGATAATAATGATAATAATGATAACAATGATAATAATGATAACAATGATAACAATGATAATAATGAAAATGATAGTGATAATGATAATGATAGCGATAACGATAGCGATAGTGATAGTGATAATATGATAATAATGATAATAATATATGTAATAGATGCATTAAATCATTATAATTTAATGTTGCAGTTGGTTTTGCATTTTTGTACATTAGTGTCACTTCAATATTATTAAAGTTTCTTGATCCAATGAGGTAGTAAATCTAGAGTTTTAAATAGTATATTCTTATTCATTGATTTTTTTATAAAACATTTTATATGATTCAGTGCTTAAAAATCTTATTCAATAATATTTTTCATCAATTTAATCTTTTTCCGTTACTATTTTTTAATTGCCTTCTAAAAATCGTGTTTTCTAAAGGAGGTTTTCACGTTTAGTAGAAATGAAATCCTTTTGTTTTATTTTATTTAGAATGAAATAACTTTTTTCAATACTTTTTTTATGACTTATAATAATTATAATAATATTTCTGAGATAATAAATTGTAAATAATAAATTGTAAATAATAAACTTCATTTCTACAATTCTGAAGTTTCTATTATTCGGTATATAGAATAATATAAGAATAGAATATATAAGAATAGCCTGATGGAATGAACAGGATCTTATGGTCAATGATAATTATTTGGCAAATTGAACAATTTTTATTTATATATTTTACCATGTCAAAACTAGTTTTATATTTCTCTTTATTTATATATTTTACCATGTCAAAACTAATTTTATATTTCTCTTTATTTATATATTTTACCATATCAAAACTAGTTTTATATTTCTCTTTTGTCCGGAACACATATCGCTGTAAACTATAACTTGTTTTTCATTTCTAAGATTTTTTAGATGTTTCAGAATACAAGATCCTATCTAAGAATCTCCAGATGCAACAGTTTCATCTTAAAG